CACACTCTTGTCTTTATCGGTGGTTGTCTTTTTTCGCTTCCCGCGACCAAGGGCAACCTGTAAACTATAGGTCAACAATGTTTGAGAACCGCGAGTAACTCGTGAGCTTGTGTCCAGAGTCTGACCAAAGTGGACTTATCATACCACTGAGCTATGTGTTAGCTCCGATACCACTGGTCATTTCTTAGTCTCTAAACAGACAGACAACTAAACTAGATGAAAAATATAAAATATGAAATAATACACACCTCGGGTGGATCCGCTCCTCCGCGGACGGACCATAGCCCGGGCCGACCAGAACTGGGCTCTGCGTGATAAGCGGAGACCTTCTTGAGATATCCCCTGTTGCCTCTCCTCCCGTGGCGACGACGAGTTTTGCGACAAGGCACTCGGTGCCGGTCACCCATGAAGTACCGATCGGCCTCGAGGCGAGTGATGAGGGGTTTGTCGACACCGACTGCTTCCGAGCGGGTGTGATCGACGGGGAACATCAAGGAGGCGACGGCAGCCCAGATGCACGTGGCCACGAAGGCAGCTGTCGCAAAACCGTACCCGACCGCGGACGCTATGGCGGCAGCGGGGTACATCGCGCCAACCATGACCGTCTTGTTAGTCCAACGACAGACAGGTGACACCCGCGGCGGGTCAATCTCGGCGAGGACCTGGTGGAGGGCTGCCAAGTGCCTCCGAAAGATCTGTCGACTCACGCCACCGGGTAGCCCGGCGCGATAACGCCTGCCGCGCACGAGTCTGCACCGCAGGGACTCGTCCGGCACGCGAATCGTAAAGCTCGCGTAGCTGTCCGTCGTGCCCATCACGGAAGAAGGACTGTCCACCCCCGATTCACCGCCATCCGCCGCCGCCTCCATACCAACCTGTCACGCCAAATACGCGCAAAAGTCTTGGAAGACATGTGGACGGAGAGACACGGAGAGCGATGTGCGTGAACAAGGATATGTATTCAAGACTTGGTCGTACCATGCATGCCCGAACGACGCCTCCGACGCAACTGGAGAATAGGCTGCCCACTCCCCATTCACCACCATCCGCTGTCACCTCCACACCAACCTGTCAAGTCAATGTATGTGCGACGAAGTAAGAACGAGCAAAGAGATGAAGATACGTAAGCGAACGCGATGTGACGGAGAGAGAGAGAGAGAGAGAGAAAATGTACGCATGTACAACGTTATATATTCAAGACTTGTTCCGCACCATGTGTGTCCGGACGACGTCTCCGATGTAGCGGGAGAAGACCACGACGATTCGAAGCAACGCCAGGACCACGCATGCGAACAGGTGCGCTGATAGCAAAGAAGAGGCAGTTTCTCCTGCCCCGCCCGCGACATAGCTGATGGCACCGTCCAGCGGGACGGCAACACCTTCCTCCTCTACGCCAAGCGTGATTGTTCGGGGCTCCGATTCCTCGACGGCGTCGGTCACCTGATGACAAGTTGTTTTCAAGAACGGAGACAACGTGAGGAAAAATGCCCGGGCTTGCCTTCGTCCCTAAACCAAACAAACTTGTACACTACACAACACTCTCTTGCCATCACTCCCATGAGACAGGACTCACCGGGAGCAGTTCCTCGAGAGAAACGAGGGCCTCGAAGTGCGCGTGTCCGTCGAAAAAGATGAGATGCTTGGCCTCGGCAATCGGGGTCGTCGACCCGTCCACCGGCTCCAGGAGTCCATCTCTGTTCAACTGAGCGATCACAAGACCGTCCAGATCCAGGGCCTCTCCACCGCCCATCACCGCCCTGCCGTCGAAGTAGCCGTGCGGACAGCGCATGATTGCGTCCCACATCGGCTTCGTAAGGATCGGGGAAGACGCGTTGTGCACCAGGTCGTCGAACGAAAGAATCTCTTCCTTGATGTCGGAGCTGTGCCCATCGAAGACGTCGCGGCCGTGCGAGTTGCTGACAGTGGCGTCACGAATGCACTGCAGGGCATCCTTGACATCACCCGCGAGCTCGCCATTGGTGGCTTCGATGATGGCAGGGATCGGGAATCCGTCACCCACCATGTCTCGTTGGATCAAGGAGAGGGGGCCGCAGTTGTTGTGGAAGCCACCCTTGCGAAGGCGCACAAACATGGCGCCTTTCGGGGTGCAATAGACGCGTTGCACCTTCTTCGCCGCCGCCGCTGCTGCTGCCGTCACGGTTGTCTGCACCCGCTTGCGCGTCCGTGTCCGCTTTCGTGAACGCCTCTTGGCCTTCGCCCTCTCTCTCTTCTGCCTATTCTTGTTCTTGACTGACATGTTTCAACTGAGACAGGCGACAGGAGGCGGGGGCGAGACGGGCATTGCGATGACAGATCCGAAAATCTTAGCTCGACACACGCTGAATAGACAGCCATTTGACACAGGGAAGAGAAAGATAGGGGCCCCGTGGATGTAGATATCACAATGGGGGGGGGTGTAAATGCGGACAATGGGTCTCGTGGATTTAACTATCGCAGTAGGGTGGGTGGCCGTCTCCCATACATGTATTGTGTGTGGGAGCGGCGTTGCAAAGATAAGTCGCGCGACATAAAATCGATGTATTGGCCCGAAAAGGCCACCAGATGGCCGAAAGTCCAAATTCTTCATGCAGTAGATGTTGGCAAGGGGCTTTACTTGAGTTTAGTGTAGGAATCGGGTATTTTCATTCCTGTTTTAGATAATGCCGGGACTGTGAGAGGGAATCGTGCAGATCGACTTATACCATGTCTTACGCACCTCGGGCGGTCCCGCTTCGGTTTCTTGGGAGGAGAGGGTTTCTCGGCGTCGCTCGAGTAAGAGGGGTCGGTGGAAGACGGGGACGGTGATGGGACCTCTCTGTGCTTCTTGCTCCTCGACGATGACTTCGACGGCGCCTTCGACGGTGTCTTCTTGGAGCGCGTGTGTACGATTCCCGGTCGGGACGGAAAAACAAAGTTAGGAACAGAAACGGGCGGTGACTGCAGCAAACGGCACTTCACTCAAACCGAGGATATGAGCCAAACATGTACATATCTTGTGCTCGACGGAGCTACTCTGACCGACCCCGCTGTCCGAGGGAGCTAGCTGGTTCGGAGACAACTTACCGGATGGGTGTCGCCCGGTCCGGGGGTGCCGCAGCCGGGGGGGGGTCGATACAGTCCCAACGATGTACTGGGCCATGGCCATCAGTCGAGGTTCGATCAACCCATGCACTTTTTGCGGCAACGTCGTCGACCAGCTTCGCTGTTGCGTACCGTCCAGCGTCACCTACCTGTGCCCGAATTTGATTGGGGTGGGGTGGGCGGGGAGGGGCGTCGTACAGGAGTGAGGGGAATGTTGGCATCAAATGGTGCCAAGGCGAGTACACATGATAAGCCTAAACCACACACACGCCAAACATTCGTAGTGGATTGACGGCAGGAATTAGTCTAGTCTAAATGATCAACACAGACAAGTACTAAAAATACAGACGCGTCGAACCTTTGCAGGGGTGCTCCCATTCTTCGGGGTCGCCGATCCAGTGGTGGCCTTCTTGCTGTTGGCGGCGGTCTTCTTGCCCACCGTATCAACAAGCAGAANCCGCCGTCAAGAAGCAGAACGCCGCAAGCCCCTCATGGCCCCGTCTGCAAGGGAGGGTGTGGCGGACGGCTCCACGGCAATTGCGGCAGCATGTTTGAGGACGACGAAAAGCACCGCATCTGCAGCAAGTGCGTCGCCAAGGCTGGCAAGCGCAAAGCGACACCAGCTGAGGGTGCTGGGGTGGGACCATCCATCTAAACGCACCCCCGAAGAAAACAAATACGGGGAGTAAGAAGGGATCTGGTTCTCGTGCGCGACCGGACAACAACACGAAGCTTGAGATTCTCACGATAAAAATACCTCAGGCAGGAACCGCAGGAGGGGGTCCAGCCCCCCCCTCCTATGTGACCTGGTTAGGTCGTCTAGCCAGTAGAAGTGGAGGATAGAGGCCAGAGGGGCAGACGACAGAGTCCAATGATGGGAGAAAAAAAAAAAAGTCTACAGCTGTATGGTCCGTCCGGGACAATTCTTCCATTCGCGTTTTGTGCGATAGCTTTTGGAGAAAAAGGAGTTGGAATATGAAATAACGTGATCGCCTCGTCGAGCTACGTCGATAGCTGTTTTTTTCTTTTGAGACAATGCAACATTTTTGGCCAAAATGATCCACGGAACCCCCTAAACGTGCATGGTACCCCCCATTCATACCACGGAACCCCCTTATCATGCCACGAAACCCCCAATTACGCCACGGAACGCCCTCACACCACAGAAACCTCAGGGCTTTCAAGCTCTGCACCAATTGTAACTGCTTATTATGTATAGACTACAGTACTTCCATGCTTACAAACTTTTACACGTGGTCTGCCACGTCCCTTTTTGGCCATGACTGCTGCGGGTGCTAAGTGCCGTTGTAGAGTCCGTCCGGTTAAATTTTTCCACAACATGACCCCCACTTTTTCTCGCTTGTTTTTGAGAGTTGACACGCGAAAAAAAGTTGAGAAGAACCGCAAGGTCGAGAAGCATCGATATCCGGGGTCAATTTTTTGTTTTGGTGAAAATGGCCGTTTTTGGGCGAAAATTACCCCGAAGTTACCCCGAAACGCCGCGTATTGTCCCGAAACGGCACGTATTACCCCGAGTACAGCCCCGCAGGCAGGGCCCTGCACCCATAGCTCGGCAGCGCCGAGTAGAACAACCTTTTTCGCTTGATAGATATATATTCTATCTACATTAAGTTGTGTCCTATATATTCTATCTATCTAGAATACTATATACCATGTCGGTTAAGACCACATGTAAAATTTTTTATATCGAAGTATAAAGGAGCAGGACGCAAATGTAAGGTAGAATATCTATCTACCTATATGGTTACACAGATACAACATCGCGCCGGCTGGTGCTGCCGGTGAAGTGAGGTGGTGCGAGCTTTGCCGCTACGAAACGCTTCAACATCTTATCGGCAGCCTCGTTAGACTTTTTTCTGGCCTCCTTGGCCGCGGCAAGGGCGGCCTGCTCTTTGGCCTTGCGCTCCTCCGCGGTTGTTGCTTGGCCACGAGCCAGCAACACGTTGTCGGCCGTGTCGGTGGGCGAGCGGTGGTTCGTCCACTTCTTGAGGTCTCGGGTTTCAAGTAGCTCTCAAGCCCGTGGCTGTAGGCATATATGTACAGCCAGGAAACACGGGCCCATTTTCGGCACAGTGACAAAG